TAGTTAAACAAAGTATAAACATTAATATAATATGAGTGAACAGTCTTTTGTATTACATAATGATTTCATAAATGTGATTAAATGTGATCTCATAAATGTGAATAATTATAATAGTTTATTTTACCCAAACGTTTGTCACATCTGCAAGATGACGAATAATGGTAATTTGATATAATGTGATGAATGCCACATGATCTTTTACTACAGTTATGGGTATAGATGGCATCACTATTCAATACATGATGACCTGCGTACGTATAAAATAGTCTTTAATTTTGAATAAGATAGATTTCATTTATCCTTTAAGCGTGATTGGACCTTCTTCTTCTAAGCACATTCGAGAGACAGATGCCACGATAATTAAAATAGTACAAAGAGTATATGCCTATTTTTTCACACATTTATTTGTATAATTACTAATAGAGGTTGAAATTAATGTTTACACTGCGTATTGCAAGATTATAATACCAGGTTTTATTTAGAAATGAAAATCTTGATGTGAAATACGCGTGAAATGTTGTTGCCAAAGTTACAAGAATGTTGAAACATAATAGATTATAGGCGATAAAATAATAAACACGTTTTTTCGATGTAACAGTTGTGACGTATCTTGTCAAATCGAAAACACAGAGAATATAGACGCTCGTATGTAATCGCATTTGTAAATTTTCCACATAGGACATTAAAGGTACGAATAACAATGCTTATTGAGCAAAAGGAGAAAGCCGACTCGTCGGTGGCAGCAACCACCCCCGAGCAAAGTGCTAGTAAAGTCAAAGGCACAACGTCACATCCTTTCCGGCGGGATATTCTTCTCCGCCTTCCCCTACTGTGACTTTTACAGAGCCCCGTCATCATACGCGCAAACAATGGCTTTTCGCGAGTGACTGCGTGAATCGCGAAAAAGTGAGAGCCGTGCGGAAGGACCTTTTGTCTTCGGGGTACATTCGGGGGAGGGGTACTTTCGAGGGGACCGGCTTGAAGGAGAAAGGTCCACGCTTCGCCAGCCATTCTTCCTTCGCTTACCAAGAACGAACGCGGGCCTTTTGTTTTGAGAAAAAAGTATCGCCTAAAAAGACACTCCGTAACTGCGGGAATTACGACTTTTTACCTCTCCCCCCTTTTGCCTCATCTCGGCTCGTTAAAAAGATTCGAACGTCGGGCCGTCTCACCGTCGTACATGCCGCCGTCAAACACGTTTGCTCGCTCGCGAAGTCTGGAGACGAGGTGCTTTGTGCGCGTGACAAGTCAGCGGAGAAAAAGTGTGCAACGTCTTCCTCAGACAAGGAAAAGTTTGCCCTGTACGGCGCCATGTCGAGCGACGTGTGTATGCGATCGCGCGACTGACACATTGCACCTACGACTATATAAGTATGGTATAAGGAAGACTGCCAGTTACCCCCACTTTTCCTATTCTTACAATGCTTCGCTATGTAATCAACATCACGCCTCCAAGGGATAAACGTCAAAAAATTGAAACATGAAGTCAGATTTCGATGGTAAAACAGAAAAGAAGAGATGGAATATGACATACGCCGCGCTGTTTTATCACGTTTGATAAAGTGCAGAACCACTTGCAGTATAAATAAAATATGTATGTATAAACTAAATACACAATAGTGAAATAAAACGTGTAAACAACAATAAGTGTATAAATATATAAATATATATATATATATATATATATATATATATATATATATATATATATATATATATATATATATATATAT